CAATTTTCAAACAGGTCGCAGATTAATTCCCGATATAGGACGGGGCAACTATTTATATGACCAAGCGGTATGAATTCCTGAAACAAGATGTATTTACCAACAACAAACAGGTTGCAAATTAATCCCTGAAATTGGACACAGAAACTATCTATATGACTAAGCGGTATGAATTCCCAAAATAAGACGAGTTTACCAACAACAAACATGTCCCAAATTAATTCCTGAAACATGATGGGGAAACTATCTATATGACCAGGCACTATGAATTCCCGTTACAGGATGGGTTTACCAACAAAGAATAGGTCGCAGATTAATTCCTGAAATAGGACAGGGCAACTATCTATATGACCAGGCGGTATAAATTCCCGAAACAAGACAGGTTTACCAACAAAAACAAGTCATAGATTAATTCCCGAAACATGACAGGGCAACTATCTATATGACCAAGTGATATGAATTCCCGAAATAGGACAAGGCAACTATCTATATGACCAGGCGGTATGAATTCCCGAAATAGGATGGGTTTACCAACAAAAACAGGTAAAAGGTTAATTCCTGAAACAAGATGGGGAAACTATATATATGACCAGACAATATAAATTCCCGAAACAGGATGGGTTTACCAACGAAAAATAGATTGTAGATCAATTCCCGAAACAGGACGGGACGACTATCTACATGACCAAATGATATCCTTCAGGGTCTCTATTCTGAAAAAGCACCCCCAGAGACTGAATTCTAGCGAGCATTCTCCTTCTGAAAAGCATTCTTCAGATGCAATCAGGCATAGACTCATTCTGGTACTCCTATCAACATTTACTTTGGATGGCATTTGTAAGCCCATCTCCAACAACACTCTATCATCTCTCTGAATGGCATCTTTAAGCCCATTAAAGAAATACTATCAACCAATAACATTACTCCATGCGCTGGCAAGTGCAAATTTCTGGGAACTTAAGTGTTCAATCCTCTTCCACCTTCAGATCACGAATGACGAACATGCCAATCTAACTCTTCAGGTTTAAGAAGATTGAACAGGGGAAGTTGTTGTACCCCAAAATTTTCCCTCCCATTTTTGAAGACAGTTAATTCAAGACACCTCCTCAGGCTCATGAAGGTCTCAAGTACTCAAGGTTACTCAAGGGTTAACCAGTCAAACCTCCTCCTAAGCAAACGACCTACAACTAGGGTTTTGTATTTCTCAAATAAAATTGAGCCTTTAATGCCTCAAGTGAGTTTCATAGTTCCTCATATGCTTTAAAGAATCCACATGTCAAGTTTTAAGCCTTGCATCACAAGTTTCTCAGTCAAGTGCCTAGATGAGTGAAGTCAATTGTATTAAACAAAAAGTCAATTGTGGTCAACATACAGTCAAACTTCAAGATTTTTGGTCAATATCAAGATTTTGAGGTCACATTCATCATTTGATCAAGGGTTTATTATGATTTCTCAAGAAAACTCAAGATTCATCAAAAGTCAAAAGTCACTAAGTTAGAGTTTTCTTAAGGAGAAGTCAACTGAATTTTGACCAAGCATAACTTTTACATGCTTCATAAATTTCTCAACCAAATCCTATCTTGAAGGAAATTCAATTCTCTACAACTTTGTATCTCTAAGCTCAAGTCCAAAAAATGCTTTATTTGAGATATATGAGCCAAGACATTACAAGTCATTTTGAAAGTCAACAAAAAGTCATCTTTTGTCAAAGCAATTTAAATCAAGGTAAAGACTTCAAATGAAAAAGTGACCAATATCAGAGTTGTAGGGGACATCTTGAGCTTTCCAAAAAGTCAAAGATTACCTTCATATGACAAAAATTGAGTGAGATATGATTGGTGAAAGTTGAGAAATTGTTGAGAAATGCATGAAATCTCAATTGAGCAATTTTGAAATTTTGGACTAGTGGACCTATCTTCTAAGGTCTAAACATGTTCATGACCTTATAGAGGACTCCTAAACTCATTCATACCTTACCATGATTTTTTTATGTATTTATATTTATTTTGATTTTTATTCAATTAAATACAAAATAAATTAAATAAAATAACAAATGATGGACCAAGGCATGCGGGCTTGGTTTTGGATCAAATTTGAGGCCCAAGAACACATATCCAACTTGCCAAAACCGTGGGAGGCAAGATTGAGACATAATCTTCTCAAAATAGAATGTTTGAAAACATGTTCTTTTGTGTTTTGCCAAGACATTGAATACTTGGTTTTTTCCTCTTTTTTCTTGGTCTATTTTTCTTCCTCTATAAATACACACAACATCAGTGAACAAGACCACAAATTACTACCTCAAGAGAAAGCTCCAAGAATCACAAAAAATTCTCAAGAACTAGGGCAAGCGTGAAACCCTATTTGCAGCCTCTCCCAAGCAATTTAAAGCAATCCATTACACTCCTGAAGATCCTAGGAGCCGTTTCTAGTCTTTCAACAAGCTCGAGACATCCCAGAATGTGCTCTCTCAAGAACACCGGTTAGGTAACTTTTCCAAAATCCTAAACTTCTATTTTATGCATTGTTAACTAATATTGTGCGTTCGTGTATGTTTATGATGATGTTTAGAATAGGTCGCGACCATTACATGGAGTTTATAACGTCCAAATCCTAGTTGGCCATTGATGAACCGATTCCCACCCCATGCATTTTTTAGTTCCACTTATTTCCAACTTTCTTTCTTTATATTTTCTTACTCATTTAATTAATTTCTATTAAATAAAAAAAATCATAAAAAAATATAATAAAATCATATTTAGACTTTTAATAGGTTAATTTAATTTTTGACAATATTTTTTTTAATTAATTAATTAGACATAGGTTTTTTTGTATAATTAATTAAGTGTTTAATTTAGGTTTAAAATCTATTTATTTTATCATTCAAATCAAACCAAAAAATGTACAAAAAAATTAATTTCTAACATTTTAAATATTAGGACATTAAAAATAATTTACTAACATTTTATTTTATTTTGCTATTTATTTATTAGACAAATTTTATAGGATGTACAAATTTTGTAATAACCTAGTTTAAATTCCTGCACAATTTCTTTATCATGTAACTGCTCTAAGGCCCCTCTAATAGCGTATGACTTTACTTTTCCGCACTTATTCTTTATATATATATATATATATATATATATATATATATATATATATATATATATATATATATATATATATATATATATATATATATATATATATATATATATATATATATATATATATATATATATATATATATATATATATATATATATATATATATATATATATATATATATATATATATATATATATATATATATATATATATATATATATATATATATATATATATATATATATATAACTGTTAGCTAATATGATTGTATGGCAACATAACAATCAAACGCTAGAAAACCCTAATGCAAGATAAAACAACTGAATCAACGCATTTGCACACTTGCACCTCTAGGGTAACCTCCCTCAGTTGCCTTCGAAAAAATAAACGGTCATGTCCCTCAAATATAGGGATGCTTTAGCAAAGACACTCGAATAAAAGATCATAGTCCCTCGATGACCCTTCGACATTGCCTTTCAGAAGATGATATAGTCCCTTACGAAATTGCTAAAGCATCCTTATAAGTTGCCTTCAATGATCGTATGACGACCCTCAATGTCCCTTCACATCCAAAGGATAGGGCTACCTACCAATTAATGGTACGAATAACACTGTCTCTAAAGGAGAAGAAAAATGTACAAGAACGACCTTGAGTGGGTAGAATGCTATTAATCGCTTGCTCATAAACTTTTCAAAAACAAAACATTTCCCGCAAACATTTTTTCACAAACAAATATTTTCAAAAACAATTTGTACGCATTCTTGAGGACTGATACAAGAATCATTACAAAGTTAACTTTTCAAAATATTTTCAAACACACACACATAAATAAAGCAAGATTTTCAAAGCGAGCTAAGCGATTAAGAGTCCGTAGATAACCACGGATGAAAAGGGTGCTAACACCTTCCCTTTTCATAATCTACCCCCCGAATTCAAAATCTTAAAAGGTCTTCCCTGTTCTTTTCACCCATTTCCTTATTGGATAAAAGAAAAGTCGGCGGTGACTCTTGTTATCTGCAACATTTGCGATAAAATGCAAAAACAAGTCAGTTCTTCCACCGTATTACATCATATCATTCACACACTTTCTTTCACGATCTTTTAGACGACCGATATACCATGGCCTTCTAAATTCTCAGATGGTTTATGATTGTGCATCTCGCACCTAACCATCACCTTTCAACCGATACCACTTGAAAAGATATCGGTCTAAAAGTACATTTAACTTTTATACTATAAATGTCTTATGAGGAGTTATTTCTTTCAGATGCATTCTTTCTTTTGTAATTTGAGCCTCTCTCTCACAACCCCATAATCAATTTATCTTTCTTACCTGACATTCTATTAACAAAATCGGAACGAGCAGTGGTAACAATAATACCATGTTGTTTACCAGTAGCCTGTGCCCATGCTAAAATTTCAGATCGAGACTTAAATATATGTTAATTACAACATATAAATATTAAAAGAAGCTGTCGATTATGGACCACACAAGAATAAATTTTTTATCTGCAGTCATACCTAAAATTTATAGAATTTACAAAATTTTCAGTATTATCGGAAAATTTGAAATTTCCATATAATTTTGTTACTACCCTAAAATTTCAAAATTTACTAGTATATTTCTAGCACAATACCAAATTTTCCAAGATTTTCGATAAATTGTCTTTGGAAATTTTGAGATTTACACACTATTTCTAATAAAAATGTGAAATGAATACCAAAATTTTTGTTTTAAGTGCATGTCTATAGTAAATCTTTTTTTAAGACATGTAAATTTCTCTTGGATAAATATTAACTAGACCATTTTTGTCAATAAAAAAATAGAAGTGCCAAATTTAATTTTAAGGGTGACAGGTAGAATTCTCCACTTTGATTTAGGGCCATAAACACATGATCTATTGCAAGAAGCCCAACCCACAGAAATACAAAACCCTAAACCCTAACTTCTGGTCTATTTATTTCCTACCGCCCCGCCCACATTTCACACAGCCTTCTTCCTCACCATCTTCCCCACTCTTTGGTAAGGTAACTCACTCATCTCTCATTTTCTTCATTTTATTTTTCTCATTGCTTAAATCTGCACATTTCGAAGACTTGCGAGCTTCAATAATAGCTCCTGAGTTCAAAACATGTGCAAAATCAATTGTCATTTTCTCTAGATTTCGATCCTCTGTTGTTTTCTCATCCTCAGGATCTACTGTAAAATGATTACATTCAATCAATTAATTCATTTGATTCACGTTTTTATCATTTATTTGTTTTTCTGTTTAGGGTTTCACAAATTAGGGTTTCATGAATTTCTTATAAATTTGATTAATTGATTCCGTATTAACTGTGCTTAGGACGGTCTTGTGCTGATTAGTTCATACATCAGTGCATAACAAATGCCTAAGCTACATCAATTGTTGCCACCGTGATTTTCATGTTTGTTCAATCATTCATATGTGAACAACACTTATTCATGGAGGCATACATTGTTAATTCCAATAACCCTTTTATAACTGTTTTTAGGGTTTCTGAATTTCAATTAATCTGTATTAGTGTTTAGTTTAATGATTTAGTAGTTGTTACCCTTTATGTGTAATTGATCTAATGTTTAATTTTTAATCATATTCAATAATGATTATGATTATGATTGCTCACGTTTTTCTATTAGGTTGAAGTTGAAGCCACAATGTCGAAGAATCCGAAGGTTTTCTTTGATATTCTAATTGGAAAAAATAAAGCTGGGAGGGTAGTAATGGAGCTTTTTGCTGATGCTGTCCCCAAAACAGCTGAGAATTTCAGAGCACTATGCACTGGTGAAAAGGGGATTGGACAATTAGGGAAGCCTTTACATTTCAAAGGGTCTGGTTTTCATAGGATAATTCCAGATTTCATGTGTCAGGGAGGTGATTTTACGAGAGGGAATGGGACTGGAGGAGAGTCAATTTATGGGTCTAAGTTTGCAGATGAGAATTTCAGTTTGAAGCATACTGGACCTGGGATTCTTTCCATGGCGAATTCTGGACCTAATACTAATGGTTCACAGTTTTTTATTTGTACCAGTAAGACTCAGTGGCTTGATGGGAAACATGTTGTGTTTGGTAAAGTTGTTGATGGGTATAGTGTGGTTCAGGAGATGGAGAAGGTGGGTTCACAAAATGGTAGGACTTCAGAGCCTGTTGTAATTGATGATTGTGGAGAAGTCAACAACTGAATAATAGTTTAGTGTTCAAAAATGTTTCAGTTTGGTTTTGTAACTTTTTCTATTTTAATTGTAAATTACTCATTTAATAAGTTAGATGGTTTGTGTTTGTGGACATTTCAAACCTGCTTATAGGTTTGGGAACAATGCTGTTTTTCTTTTATAAAATTCATTGCACAGGCCTTTTGGTGCTCTTCCCTCTATAAGGCCTTGGGTCATCTAATTAGTTGAGTAAGTTTTTGTAGTTAATGCCCCTTTGAGTAGTTATGTGAAAATAATCAATTTCATGTTAACTTAGTTAGGGGCACATATTAATTGAAATCTAATGTTAATTAGGTTTCTTTCAAAGATAGGCTTATTGAATGGACATTCTGCTTTCTTAGTATCTGGCCTCAAGAAGCCTTTCACATTTCCAGTTTTAGTTAAATACATTTTATTTTATCTTATGCATTTGTGCTTTTCTAATGGACAATAGGAAGATTCTAAACTGTTTCTTTTGTAATGATTGAGTGAGGACCCTCTGAAAATTTTTCAAGAGCTAAAAATCCTTAATGATTACTAGATTAAAAGTTTGCAAGTTATTAGTCAAGTAGACATGAGAAATAAGAGTAGAAGCTAACTTATTGACATAGGCAAATGTTTTCTCAAAAATTTAAATGAGCACTTAGTGGACAAGTGAATGTATATGATTTCTCTCAAAAGCAAAGTTAAGGAAGGTTTCAACCTGAGTTTCTTATGTTGGCTGTTTCGTTTTGGAAAATTCTCCTACTAGAGTTTCCGAAAGAGGGATACATTTGTGCCAAAAGAATTTTGTCCAACCAATGTTCTAACTTGAAACATAAAGGAAATAATATGCATCTTTGAAACAGAGGCTACCTGCACAAAAAAGTGGCCAAAGGATTTTTCTCATATCTTCTAAGGGAATATGGATCTGTTAACAAGCATGATAGGATAGGGATATGCTTGTAGAAGGCCTTGAGGTGAACTCTAATGCTTGTTTGTCAAGCAATATTTGATTTTTGCATGGAGATGATGACTAGTAAGAGGAGATATATATTGAGGGTTTGCACTAAAGAAGAACCTGTCTGATTATCAGTCAAAGAGTTGATTTAGGATACATCACCAATCAACCAAATTGTTTTTAATATTTGAGAATTTTGATTGAATATTGCTCCGAATAGAATATAAAATATGGTAGGATATATGAGAATTGGATATGTAACCTTGCTCCACCAAAAAAATGGTTCAATGATTATTGAAATTGAGGAGCTCTTAACATGGTTTGATGTTTGTAAGTTCAGTAATTTGATGACATCAACTTAGATAGTATTCCAATACATTTGGAAAATGTAGTCTCCTTCCTTATTCATGGAAAACACAACATTGTGAGTTTCTTCTGCAGTAGGAATCAAGAAGAGAAGGTTGTTTATATTATCATTATTAACTAAATTTTGAAGCTCTATCTAAATGATACCATGTCATGGAACTTTTTGACTCCATTGCATGAAGAAGCGAAATGTCCCACAAAGTAGTTGGCAATGCCATCAGAGTCGATTAGAAAATTAACATTGATTTTGATGAGTAAGATCAAGTTGGTGGGATTTTAAATCTCAACCATTCTATAGAAAAATCTCCCTATTCAAAAGTGCCATTTAACTTTGGATTTATCTCATGTCGAATTTTTTTCCAAATTTTTGAGCCAGATCTAGATCCAATTGAGCCTTTTTAAAAAAAAATGGAAACGATTATCATTATGGCCTAAGTTTTTAATTCGAATCTGAATAAGATCTAACTTTTCAACAACAATTTTAATTTGATCATAAACGTCACCAAAAATAGACCTGTTCCAAGTTTTCAAATTTTCCTTGAGGAGCTTAAATTTTTTAGCAAGAATGAACATGAGACAACCAATGCAAGCTCTTTATTATGTTGATGTCGTCATTATAATTTGACCATATTCTCATGGATTTAAAGTGAGAGACGAACCTATTGCAACGATATTGGAAATACAAAAAAAATAAGAAAAAGGATAATGATCAAATTTAGTTTTGGTAATACTAGTTGAGCAAGAGATAAAGTTACAAGAATTTAGCCAATATTGGCTGCGAAAAGTTCTATCTAGTCTTCTTTATCTGGGGTTAGAGCCAAGTATTCTATTTGACTAAAAAATACCCTCCATTAGGAATGCGAAAAAAGTCATTTAAATCATTCTAGTTTAGATATCTTGCATAGAAATTTTAATAGAAGAGTGAACGCCATTATGTTGATGAGTTCCTATGATGCCATGAAACCCCCTAAGAAACACCAAGTAGCTGATGTTGAAATTGCAAGGACTATAAAGTCCACTCAACAAATAATTAGTAGAAGCATATAAGGAAGGGATATCAAAATGCTTCTCACCATCTTCAATAATGAGTGAAATCTGTTGGGCAAACAATAATATGATCTAAGTTAATGGAGAATAAGCACCAAATTTTGGGAAGACGATTTTCTTTATTATTAACTACAAAAAACTTAAGTTTAAGTCTTTTCATCCATTTTTTGGAAAATGGGTCAAAGTTTATCCATGTGTTCTCAAAACAGAATTACTGAGTTTTATATAGACATATGACCTTAAAGATAAACATAAATTTGTGTAATGAACAATAAAGGTGCAGACCGTAACAACACATAATTGAAGAGATCAAATAAATCTTCTCTAACAAAATAGAATCCTATACATGTCCTAGATGTACTACGAACATAACAAACACTATAGACATATCGTACTGTGATTTGTCTTCTTCTATGGAGCGCCAAAATTGGAACAAAGGAGTCTTGGGGCCACTATAAGGTGCTACGACTTTGGCGTAGTAGACTTTGATCTAGCCTATATGACTCCATCATCTTGTCCAGTCTTCACGCGTTCCATCCCGATTTTGCTCTAAATTTTCATATTTCGACCTTGTTCATTTGAAACACCAAAACAAGGAGGATAAACAAAAATACGAAAGTAAAACAAACAAAATAAAAATAAAATACTACGAATTAACAATAAAAACACACAAAAAATGGTAAAAATACTACTCATCATTGGCTCGTCTAAACACAAGGTCACCAAATTGGAAGTCTCAAGGCCTTACTTGCTAGTTGTACTTGGCCGATGTTGTATGTTTTACAAAGGCACTAATGAGGGTAACAAATTCCCTTTTATCTTATAGAAAGTGTACCACTTACATGATAGCCCTTTTATCTTCTAGAAAGTGTACCACGTTTCTGATAGCTTGTGCGTTGTCTTTTTCCGACAAGGGGTGTGCGTCCTCTAACTAAGTTCTTCTATATCAACAAGAACGACGACTTTGGTCCTGTAAGTGATTCGAAATGGGGTTTCGCCCGTAGTTGAATATGGTGTGATTTTATATGTCCAAAGGATATGTTAGAGTTCATTGGCCCAGTTTTCTCTGATTGCTCCAAGTCTTCTCTTTAGCCATCTTAATATAACTCAATTAGCTGCCTCCTCTTACTCGTTTGTCTGATGATGCTCTACTAATGTAAAATTTTGACCTTAAGATCTTCGAGAAGTTTCATCAAGTGTTTATCTGAAAATAATATTTTGTTGTCCGTTACTACAAATTAGGAAATTTGATACCTAGCTAGAATGTTTCTCTTGAAGAATTTCAGTATGTTAGCTATAGTGATTTTGGCTAAAGCCTCGGTTTCCACCCATTTCGTAAAGTAGTCAATTACCATAATCAAGAATTTAAGGTGTCCCAGGGCTAGAGGAAATGGACCCAAGATGCCCATGCCTCGTTTTGAGAAAGGCCATGACGACGTCAACACGTGTAACACATGTATGACTAATAATGTCCAACCCTAAGAACCTTCTGATCCAGAGCTTTGGCGTCAAGATGTTGTCCAAATATCTCCTAGTATACTTCAACAAGGGTGTATGTGGATTTTTCTCCTTCGAGGCATTTCCACAGAAGGGTCGATAATCCTCTTTTATATATATATATATATATATATATATATATATATATATATATATATATATATATATATATATATATATATATATATATATATATATATATATATATTTCTATCACTTAATACAAACTTGGAGGAGGGCGAGATCCATGAGGTTCGCAAAGTTTCTTCTATAATTGCCATCACAATTTTAGGATCTCTCGGATGAAGGAATTGTCAATGCCAAAGGTATTAGTGCTAATGAGCTTAGATAAGACGTGTGCCTTGTTATACTTCTCCCTAGGGACGTGTAAGATTTCGTAGGATTTGAACTTCATCAATCTTTCTCTAGTCAGGTTGAAATACGACTTTAATAATGTGTCTTTAGTCTGAGCCTCTCTAAGCCTCTCTTTTGACTTGTGATACTACCAATTGTGAATTTGTTCGTAGCTTGATGTTTTTTGCCCCTATTTCGACTGCTAACGTTAGACCAACAATGAAAGCTGCATTCTTAGTCCGACTATTAGGAGTGGAAAACTTAAAATAGAGGGACACTTCTACCATCAAACTTGCTTCATTTTCCAATATGATATTGACCCTGTTTCCTCTACTATTCGATGATCTGTTTATTTACACAATCCATGTATGAGCTAGTATGAGAACACCTAGATTCACTCTATTATGAAATCCATGAACAATTGAGCCTTCAACTCTTTACTAGATTCGAAAGATACGTAAAACTCAGACATCTTAATAAATCATTTGATTAGCCACCATGTCAGATCTAACTTGTGAAAGATTTACTTTAACGGTAGATTGATACGTAGAACAACAATTTACACCAGAAAATAACATCGCATCTTTTTGGACGCAATCATTATTGCTAACCCCGATTACCATCTAAAAATTACACCAATTTTAAAACAAATCAAAATTTAATTTTCCTCTTTCTGAACTATACTAACCATACTATCTTTTACTATCGGTGTAATGCCGAAAAGTCAAATCAGTTTAGACCAAATTGAAAAAGAGGTTGTTTACTCCTTTGAAGTTCAAGCATCAAGTAAAAAATTAGCCCTATCCATTTATTTAGTGGACAAATAAGAATTTGTCAATTTTAATTCATTCAAAAACCTGTTTGAAATATTCTCAAAATAAAAATTGTCTCTTTCTTTTTACTTTTCCGAAATTGAATATGTCCAATTGAGACCCATTCCAAAACGACGCACCTCTACTACCAAAACGACTGTCACTCCCAACATCCCGTCGTCGTTTCCATGCCTCCTTCACTTCTAGTCTTCCGATTTTGACTTCAAACCTTCGCATCTTCATCATCTTCTTCATCGAATCCAATAGTGTGTGTCTGTAATTCGTTAACTTGAAGTTGGTGAAGAAGAAAATGGAGCAATCAGTTGTTGATGACATAATCAATCGACTGTTAGAAGTTCGAAATCGTCCGGGGAAGCAAGTTCAACTATCGGAGTCCGAGATCCGTCAACTCTGTGTGGTTTCTAGAGATATTTTCATTCAACAACCTTATTTATTAGAACTCGAAGCACCTATCAAAATTTGTGGTATTCTTTTCCTTTTCACCTAATTTTCTTTCTCCAAATGTTGTTTCATGATTTTGTAATTCGTCAGAATTTCTGTATGTGATTGAATAACAGTATAATGTGAGTTTCCATAAGTCAGTATGCGAGCTTTAAAAATTCATATGTTGTGTTTTCGGAATCGATATTGTGTGAGCATGTACACAATCTCTAGACTCTGTGGTAAGGAAAGTAGAATCAGATGGAGAGAAGTCAAACAATTAGAGGAAGAGGCTAGAAAGAGAACTTTTAGACTCTGTGGTAAGGAAAGTAGATCAGATGAAGAGAAGTGAAACAACTAGAGGAAAATGAGACCTAGAAAGACTATAAGATAAGTTATTAAGAAAAATCTTGAGATTAACGATTTGGATAGAAGCATGGTCATGGATAGAACGTTATAGCGAAAGTTGATCTATGTAGTTGATCCTATTTAGTGGGATAAGGCTTGGTTGTTGTTGTTGTTGTATATTATGTGGGATATTATTGGTTCTCTTAAGACGAGACTATATTTCTTTTCTACGATTGGCATTGTCCTCTTCTTCTTTCTATTGCTTTCATTCCTAATTCAATTTTGTCATGTGACAACTTATCCATTGTAATATTCGCATGTCTACAACATTGAGCTTATTTTTTTGTTGGCTCTTTAGGAGCTAGTATTTAATTCCATACTTAATTGCAAGTTTTGTAAGTTGCAATTAAGCAGGGAAATTTCCTTTAAATTAGTGGTACTTTTCTATCACAAATGACACTAGAAGTATTAATCTATTCCATCCACAGTACATGAATCTTATGGTCGACACTTGATACCTGTCCCTCTATTTTCTCATCATTTTTTATGATGGATCTAGATATTTAAACTTTGTGGCTTTTGATAATATTAATATGTTCTCCAATTTTATATATAAGCTATAATTTGTGCGCCTTTTTCCAAATCGATTCTGCATGTCATGTAATCTGTTTAAGCTTAAAGGTTTTTTATTTTTTATTTTATTTTTTTCACTCTTCTAATCCTCGCAAATAAAACTATCTGTTTGTCACTGTATTTATACCCAGAAAATTTCAGTTGTTGCTTATGATTGACATCATTAGTTTGCTCAAGTTATTTGCTAGAACTTTTGAATTTTTTCTTTGGTGGACTGATGTTGAAAACCGTGAAAAGATTTACGTATAAAATCATGACATCTCTGATTACCAACATCATATTTTAGTTTCAGCAAAAAAATTGACGCATTATCAATTGATTCATGTTGGTGGCTGCAGGCCCCACATGGTGGAATATAGCTTAGTTTTTGCTGTATGATCCATACATTGTACTTCCTGATATTATCAATATCGTACAATATTGTAGTATGGCAATTGTACAAAAGGAAAAATACATATATTGTTTAATGTAATGGTTTCTTAATATCCTTATATTGATGTTTTAGGTGATGTACATGGTCAATATTCTGATCTCTTAAGGCTTTTTGAGTATGGTGGATTACCTCCCGAGGCTAATTACTTGTTTTTGGGGGATTATGTGGATCGGGGAAAGCAAAGTTTAGAAACAATTTGCCTTCTCCTTGCTTATAAGATTAAATATCCTGAGAACTTTTTCCTATTGAGAGGAAATCATGAATGTGCTTCTATAAACCGGATTTATGGATTTTATGATGAGTGCAAGAGAAGGTTCAATGTAAGATTATGGAAGACATTTACAGACTGCTTCAATTGCCTTCCTGTGGCAGCTCTTGTTGACGAAAAGATTTTATGTATGCATGGGGGGATTTCTCCTGACTTGCATAGTTTGGATCAGATTAGAAATCTACAACGGCCCACTGATGTTCCTGATACAGGTTTGCTTTGTGATCTTCTTTGGTCTGACCCAAGCAAAGATGTTCAAGGATGGGGAATGAATGACAGGGGAGTTTCATATACATTTGGTGCTGATAAGATCACAGAGTTTCTTCAGAAACAGGATCTTGACCTAATTTGCCGTGCTCATCAGGTCAAGCTCCTACCTTTAGTGCTTTCATGTGTTATCAATTTTTTGGAGGCTGAGTTTGTACAGCCAGTTCTAATTTTCTATGACCGAAACTAAAATGACAATGAAGTATATTTCCAGCAATCTGCTCTAGTCTGTTGGTATATTTCCAGTATATTGTGATTACTTTATTTTTTTCCAACTGTAAATGTGATGTGACATGGTTTTGTGCATTGACCTGAAAAATCTTCAAATTCCACTCATTAGGTTTGGCATCTGGTGCTTCATTTGTACATTACCTTGTGTTTATATTGGAGGATATTACACTTCAATCAACTTTGCTGTTAAGTATTAACTGTTTCTTTTAATGTATGACCAGGTTGTGGAGGATGGATACGAGTTCTTTGCTAATAGACAACTCGTAACAATATTTTCAGCACCTAATTATTGTGGAGAGTTTGACAATGCCGGTGCTATGATGAGTGTTGATGAGAATCTAATGTGCTCTTTCCAAATATTAAAGCCAGCTGATAAAAAAACAAAGATCAATTTTGGAAGCACAACCACTGCTAAGCCTGGAAACTCTCCAGCAGGTGTAAAGGTTGGAAATAGTTTAGTATTTTCCGGCAACACATACCAACTTAATTAATAATATCTATGCAATTTGCGCACTTCAATAGGTACATATCACATGATGTGCCTGACTTGAAGAGATATCTTTTGAATAAGCTTATTTGTATTAACGTAGATTTTTGGGGATATTAATCTCCATAGCAAATTGCCATTTTCATGCGCAACAGTTTTTTTTTTTTTTTTGTATTTTACATTGTTCACGTGTAACATAATGCATTTATAATTTATAATCTAAATTTGTCTCCCTCTCATTGTTCATGGCAGTCTTTCCTTGGTGCAAAAGTATGATATTGAACTGTGCTATAAAGATTGCTGTAACAACTGGTCAGCTTGGTCCTAGCTCCTAATGGTTGCAAGAAAAATCGAGATCCATTTTGTCCACTACGATATTTGGAATTGTAAAAATCAAAGGGAAAACATGATCATGAACTATGTAAACCATTGTTTTGTGGGTACAAATTCACAGTTTGAGATGGAGAGTCATGTTGTCTCTGTCTTCAGTTGTACTCAAAGAGTTGAAATATTGTATGAATTGTAAGCTTCTCAAGCATAGCGTCTGAGAACCATTTAAAAGTGCTTATAGGAGTGGCGTATGGATGACACACTCATGGCAGGTAAAACTGAATACAGTTGATTCTATGTTTTCCCCAATTTACCTGTCATTCGGACGGACTTATGTATGAAATCTTGTTTTAATCTTTGTTTCTCGTTCACAAGATCTTCTCCCTGAAGAATTTGAGTGGCTGAAGCAGTAATTAGACACAATGTCTAACCGAAAAAATGAGTCGGAGCTGCAGGCCTATGATATGTTATGGGAATTTTGTGTTGAAGCAACGTCTCATAACTAGGTCAACATCTCTTACAAGAAGAATATGGCAATAAGTGTCTTGCAAGGCATGTGTGTGAAGGCTTCCTTGCATTAAAAACCAAGTGAAGTGTTTCAAGTTTTGTGGAAGTTTTAAGTTTCCATATCCACTTCCAAGGCTCTTGCTAGGTTGCACATGCAAAATCAAAGGAATCAAAGTCAACCATTGATATTCACGTGCGGAACCGAATAAATACTTTTTGATAAAAAATAGAATAAATCTACAGAAGACTGCAACCAAATCTTAATGTTCCGAGGACCCCCTTTACACTTAGGTTGAGAAACAATCTTATAATTCACCTCAATGACAATGTTTCCTCCTCCATATGAATTGATGAGTGAACCACAAATTCTGCATAGAGTAAGGGGTTGCTCATTGTTCTCTTAATAGTGCTTTCAAACACTATGGAATTTCCAAAAATGTCCTCCTTGCCCTGTTCGAGTTTTCATAAGAAACGGCCAGAATTCACAAAATTCCTATCCAGATTTTAAAATTTGTGTGCATATTACAAGAGACCAAGTTCATCCAAAATGTCCAAAATGTATGAAAGTTATGTTCATATTTTCAAAATTCGGACGCTCCACGTATTACAAGAGCTCAAATTCATTTGAAATGTCTAGAATGCACAAAAACTTAGTCTGAAATATGAACATACCATATATAACGAAAAACGTTATAATATTATCATTAGATGGTGAATTTGAATTACAGTATTTGGACATGTTTATTTGTTCATTGAATGCGTTTGGGTTTTGAAATTCAAGTGGGTCATTTTTTTTTGGAATTAACCACTCATTTTCGAGGTTATATATGTCACCCCCAAGTGTATGTTTTTACTGAAATTTTTTGGAATTATATTCTTGTGAATAATTATCAAATTTTAAAAAATATGAGCTTTACTGAAAATTTGGAAATTGTATCGTAAATTTCAAAAAAATATCAGATTTTTTTTTTTAAAATTTTCAGTATAATACTGGAAATTTCCAATACGGTATCGGAAATTTCCGTATATTTCAATTTTTTCAAATTTTTTTTACTTAATTTTAAGGCTTAAATGCAGTTTTGACCCCCCTAGTTTAAGGTTTTTGGAGTTTCGATCCCCCTAGTTTGAAAGCCAGGTTTCTAGTCCCCAAAGTTTTCAAATTTGGGATTTTTGAAGCCCCCTCCATCTGGCTGCCCAAAAAGTGACATGGCACAGGGAGAGTAATGCCACGTATTTTTTTTTTCTTATTTAGAATAATATTTTTTAAACATTTAAATAAATGATATTAATTTCCAAATGAATTTTTAATTTCATAATTTATATTTTCTGAAAATCCCAAATTCATAAACCTAATTTCCTCTTCCATCCTTGCTTCTGATCATCTTCAACCCTCCTTCTTGGTACGACCTCCAACACTCCATCTTCGTCTTCCTTCTGTGGTACCAGCTTCAACCATCACACTCCTACTACATACTACCTTCACACTCTCTCTTAAAGCTTCGTATAATCATTCTGATATTTAGAGCGATGAGGAAAGATGGAGAAAGATATTCTATGAGGTAAGTTTTGTTGTCTTCTTGAACATGTTTTTATATAGTTCTGTGTGGTCCACCATTGTCTCATATTAGTGGGTTTAGTATTTTCTCTTTTGTGGTCCACCATGAACGAATATTCAATGTTTGGCTTTTAGTGGGTTAGTTTATTAACATTGCATTTTAATATTGTTAATTTCAGGCCACCACCAGAGACATCAGTGAGGTTAAGATTACACCATAGGGGTAGATTTGTAAATGAACCTGTACATATGTATGTTGGGGGCGAGGTTACTGAGATGAATTGGAAGTTTGATGTTGACTTTATGTCATACATGGATTTGGAGGCACTGGTTAAAGGTCAGGGTTATATAGACATTGGATCTTTGTGGTATAGGAACCCTAAATTTAGCTTTACCCGTGGTCTAAGGCCATTAAACAATGATAGGGATGTACTGCAATTTGGACAAGATGTTGTAGGTCATGAAGTAATTGATGTTTATGTGGAGCATAAGGTGTCTGATCCACCTGAAATTGTGGATCCTAGTGAGTTGGATAAAGTAATTGAAGATGATGATGTAGAATTGATTGGTGTAGCAGAACCAAATATTGCTGTAGCTGAACATTGTGAAGTTGAACCTGAAACTGCTGAACATGAACCTGAACCAGAACCAAATATTGATGTTGTTGAAACTGCTGAACATGAACATGAACCTGAACCTACTGAACCCAATATTGCTGTTGCTGAACCTGTTGAACAAGAACCTGAAATTGTACCTGAACCTACTGAACCCAATATTGCTGAACCTACTGAACCTGCTGAACCCAATATTGCTGAACCTGCTGAACCCAATATTGCTGAACAAGGACCTCAAATAAATGCTGAACAAGGACCTCAAATAAATGCTGAGAGCCAACCCAATAATGATTTCAGTGAAGATAGTAACAATTGTGAGGATAGTGGAGAGTGTGATGAGATGGACTGGACGTCAGTGCTGCCTCCTGAGACCTTAGGTGAGGAACCTAGTGTAGTGAACCTGCAATCACAATCTGAAGATGAAGAGGATGAGGAACATTTATACACACCCCCTGGTACTGATGATGAAGAAGATCAAGAAAGGTTCCCAACATATAAAAGTGGGCAGGGATTACAGTTCAAGATAGGATTGATGTTTTCAAACAAGGAAACAATAAGAGATGCAATTAAAGAGTATGGAATGGAAAACCAAAAAAATGTCTATATCAGGAAGAATGATGCAAAGAGGATTATAGTTAAGTGTATGGATGGCTGCAAGTTTCACCTCAGGTTCAGTTTGAGGAATGGGCAACAGTATTGGCAAATTGTAAGTTATGAGAGTGACCATACTTGTTGCAGAACTGCAGACAACAGGAATGCTAAGACCCAATGGCTTGCTATAAGGTTTACACAACTTCTAAGGCACAGCCCATACATGAAACCAGCTGGTTTAGTCGCTGAAGCACTACAGAGATGGGGAATAAAGATATCAAGAGATCAAGCATATAGAGCTAAAAGGAGGGCATTGGACCTTATCCAAGGTGCTGGTTATGACCAGTTCAGGCACTTGAGAAGTTATGGAGAGGAGTTATTGAAGTCCAATCCAAAGAGTACAGTTATTATAAAATGCTCAGAAAACCATGGCAGTCCTGCATTTGAAAGAATATATATTTGTTTAGATGCTTGTAAGTCAGGATTTGCCAAGTATTGTAGACCAATAATTGGTTTGGATGCATGTTTTTTGAAGGGGGATTATGGTGGCCAATTGATGTCTGCTATAGGCAGAGATGCAAACAATCAAATATATCCAATTGCTTATGCAGTGGTTGAGGCTGAGACCAAAGATTCGTGGGAATGGTTCTTGCATATACTACTAGAAGATTTAAGAGCAGTCAATGATAGATGTTATGGCTTTATTTCTGACCAACAGAAGGTAACATTTAATTCTTATCTGTGCTTTTATTTATGACTAATAGAATGTAACATTTAATTATGTGTGCTTTATGTTAGGGTTTGGTTCCTGCTATCCAAGGCTTAAGTTCCAATGTGGAACAGAGACTGTGTGTGAAACACCTTTATGGTAATTGGAAGAAAAAACATGGAGGTGTGGTACTAAAACAAGCTATGTGGGGAGCAGCCAGAGCAACTTCAATTCCAATATGGGAAAGAGCAATGCAGAAATTGAAGCTTTTAGATGGTGGAGCATGGAAGGACTTGAATGACATTCCAGCAATGTTCTGGACAAGATCACATTTCAAGACATATGCCAAATGTGATATTCAAGTGAATAACATGTGTGAGGCCTTTAACAGGGCAATTTTGGAGCATCGAGACAAGCCAATCATAACCTTATTGGAAGGAATCAAACATTATATCACTAAAAGGATAACTAAACAAAAGGGATTATTGCAGGGATATGAAGGAGTAATCTGTCCTAGAATCCAATTGCTAATTGAGAAGCACAAAAGGGAAGCACAAGACTGGACCCCAACTTGGCATGGTGATGATGATCTCTCAATCTTTGGAGTTACCAATGGAACTGAGACATATTGTGTAAATCTGAAGAATGAATCATGCAGCTGCAGAAAATGGGAGTTGTCTGGAATCCCATGTTGTCATGTTATCTCCTGCATTTGGAACATAAGAAAAAAACCAGAAGCATATGTCTCTCCATATTATAGGTTTGTGAGTCACATGTTATGTAACATATTTCTATGTCCTGTTTATGATATGTTCTATTAACTCTTGCATGTGTAACATTATTTCTGTTTTGCAGCAAAGTTACATTTGAGAAATGCTATGCTAATATTGTCATGCCAACCAATGGACCACAATTATGGACTGATGTTGATCATGTGCCTATGTGTCCTCCTGTCATGAGAAGAGCAATTGGACGTCCAAAAAAGATGAGAATTAAAACAGGTGATGAGCCAAAGAACCCCCATGTGCT